AAAATCGAGCACATTCAAGAATCACAAACAACATTCTTAAAAAATATTGCGTTTTGTGGTTATGCAACAAATTTTACCTGTCCTGGTACAGGCTAAAGACCCCGCCAGCATGGATAAGATCATAGGTCCGTGGATAAGTCGAGAAAGCCTCACACCAGTCCATATATGTCCCTATAAAGCCTCGTTCGTATATGACCCCAAGCGTCTCGTGGGTGGATGGGACCACATTCATGACCCAAACAGGGTATTTCATCATGGCTGCTGCAAATCCTCCGAGATTCGCGTTCATGTCCATCACGTTACGGTACATCCCGCGTGACAGCTGGCTGACAAGCTTTTTGTAATACGAGACGCGATTTTTCCATAACTCGTTGTCCTCCTGGAATTGCTTGGCCGTGACTCCTTTGACCAAGCCATTACTGATTCTTGGTGGGACTGCAAAGGCCCGTTCGGGCCATTTCTTGAGCGGGCCCCCGGCTACTTCACTAGCGCTGCTCACCTCTGGGAGTGGTGTGATGCAGTTCTCCAGGTCCTTGTACCTTTTTTTCGGTGCCAAAAAGGCAAAAACAAAGAGTTGGATTTTTATTTTTTCGTATGTAGAAACATTAGAATTAAGAACGCGAATCGAAAGGGGAGGGGTAGACCAAAGAAAACTTGGAATGAGACAATAAAATTGATTTAAAATATTTAAATTTTAACGGCTTGTTGATTGATTGATTGATTTTTCGTATGTAGTCGGCAGAGATCTATTTAGTATTGTGTGGATCACTTTTTGGCCACTTGAGGGTGAAAAGGATGATTTATTTCCATTTTTTCCAATTCTAGAAGACCCAGAAACAACTTCTGGATAGAAAATGATTAGAAACCAGCTATTTTTTATTACTTAGATTTAAGAAATGGCTAAAAAGAACCAACCTATTGTTTGTTAATCGTAATTTTAACATTTTTCGTTTCACGGCAGGATGAATTTTTGGATAGTCGCGGCATTTTCTTGCACAAAATGAACGAAATTGAAGGATTGAAAATGCAATGCAACCCAACTGGCTTGCACTTAGCAGGATGAAAGTTGCATTCTTTTTTTTACTCTCAAGAAAATTCAGGAAGGTAAAATAAATAAATAAAAAAAAAAAGATCAAGAAAAGTTTACCAAGCAGCATCGGCATTGTCCGATTTGCAGATGGGCGGCTCCGGATACGACGTTTTCGTGTCGAGACACTCGACATGATTGATGGGTTTCTGCCAGATGGCGAGATCCCCTTTCTGGACAACTTTTTTCCAGCAGAGGCGTTTGGCCACGTCCTCAATGGAATCTTGTTCTTGCTTCAAGTCTTCTTTTGTTCTCTCCCAACCTCTCCAATACTTCTCCCAGCGAATTGGAGGGCCAGAGAGTATCCAGTAGCCGCCGGGCCTCAAGATCCTGTCCACCTCAGCCAAGTACAGCCCGCCTGCAAGCAATATCACGAAAAAATGAAAATGACGAAAAAGAAATGTGTATTTCGTTACAAGATTCGTTTTTTTTTTTTTTAAAAATCTTTTACCGTGGTCGAACCAAGGGATCAAGCAACGGGAGCAATGGGCCATGTCGAAGGCCCGAGCAGGATAGGGAAGCCTTCTTGAACCCATGATGCCGATCATTGCAGGAACACCTCTTTCAAGTGCAAACCACACTTGTGCCTCGTGCGTGTCTCTCGGCGCAAAAGACATAGCTATTATATCCCTCTTCAGTAGGTAAGCACCCCAACTAGCCACCTAATATATTGAAACACCAAAACGAAAAAACCCGAAAAATCACCACCTCATAACAAGCACAGTCGAGGCCTTTTTATTTCTCAATTCATTTAATAGGTTCAGCCCATTTACAAAGAGATGTCAAGATTCAATTTTTAATCACCCTGCATCCCCTACCTCATAACAAGCACAATCAAGACTTTTTTTATTTTTTATTTTTTATCTTTTTTGTCAGAAAAACAGGAAAACTTTTAGGCTACGTGTGGTAAACTAGCTAATAAGCTAGTTTATGTAGCTTTTAAGAGAATTTCGAACTTATAGCTTATAGCTTATAACTTATAGCTAAAAAGCTAGAGCTTATATGATAACAGTGTTTGGTAAAATTAGCTGATAAGCTAGCTGAAATAAATATTTTAATAAGTTTATTTGAAAAGCTACCCAAAGAAGCTTATGAGATAAGCTCGAACTTTTCAAAAAAGCTCGTCCTACCAAACAAAGCTTATTCGAATAAATGTTTGGTAGACAATAAGCTAGCTTATAGCTTGGTTAGCTTATAAGCTCTCTGTTTTCAAATAAGCTCTGTTTGTTAGGACGAGTTTTTTTGCAGAGCTCGAGCTTATTTGATAAGCTTCTTTGGATAGCTTTTCAAATAAGATAGTTGAAATTTTTATTTCAGCTAGCTTATCAACTAATTTTACCAAACGTTTTTATCATATAAGCTAGTTTTTCAACTATGAGCTAAAAAATTACTGATAAACTATAAGCTAGTTTATCAGCTAGTTTTCACCAAACATTCAGCCGAAGAGATGACAAGATTCATATTTTACTCACCCTGCATCCCCTACCTCATAACAAGCAAAATCAAGACTATTTTTTTTTCCTCTTTTCTCTAAAGAGAAAAATAAAGGAAATCTTTTAAGTTCAGCCCATTTACCAAACAAAATAAAAAAATAAAAAAATAAAAAAATAAAATTGAAAAAGATTCATTTCTTGCTCACCCCACATCCAGTATCAACTGCAGTCCTTATGCTCCCATCAGTCAGCGGAATAAGAGCACTAATATCGTCAATATACGCGTCGGCCCCGCGCGGAAACATAGTGCCTCCTCCCGGAAACCTGAACCGGTCCCCCTCGACTTGAATCCAGTTCTGAACAGCCTTCTCAATACTCAACTCCTTGTGAGGTATATTAGAGTACCACGCGTAATCCCTGCTTTGTGGCCATTTAAAGGGGCTCTTATAGTTCGGTGGGGCCGGGATAAGACACCTCAGCAGCTCGTCTTTCGTAGGGCAGTGCCTTTCCCTGTACTTGAGCATGTCCCGGTCGAACTTCCGGCCTCTTTGCTGGTCTTCGCACGGAGTGTACTCGGTAAACTTTGGATCGCAAGGCCGGAATTTTTCGGTTGAATCGGAAGAGTTGACTGCCAGCTGGTGGTGGGTCTCGAAGTCCAGCTGGTCGGGGATTATTGATGAGGTGGCGGATGAGGAGGATTGTGGAAGATGGGTTTTGATGTTTTCGTTTTCGTTTTCGCAGTTGACTTTTGAGGAGGAGAAGTCGGTTTGGGTTGACTGGATGGGGGATCGACCTTGCCAAGCGCCTAAAATGTAGAAGATGATGCAGAGGCCACTTACGGCTAGGATGTACGTTAGACGCTTTCGCTTCATGTTGAGATGGTGGGGCTTGGGGGACCCGTTGTACTCCTTGGCCATTTCTGAGGCCTGAGAGAGTTCAGATGAAAGAAAACAGAAAAGAGAGAAAGAAGGAAAGAAAAAAAAAGTGCTTTAGGATGGTTTGAAGATAAAAGAGATGCTAGTGAAAAAATTTTGTGGGATGGCTATAGTATCTGTCTCAATCGGTATAATTAAGTGCAGTTATTGAGAGAGAAGGGAGATACTTAAGGAGGATATTAAAGCTTGTTAAGTTAGATAATGCTACTAGCTAGTACCTAGGAAGTTCATGATCTGTATATAAACAGAAAGGAGATGAGTCTTTTGTTTTAGAGAAAAACTGAATTGTGAAACGACGAGAGTATCGTGACGTGATTGTTGTGTACTCGGAAGGATCGTTAAGAACTGTAATTTTTTTGCAGATGGAGGAGAACTTG